GACATACAACGCCATTCTCAATAATGAAATGTAACTACCAGCTTGCATCGTTGATTGATTGATATGAGAAGAATAACATCCCAAAATCTCTATATGAATACGAGAGACGACGTAGTGGAGGGCTCCAGAAATTTCGACCACCTGGGGTTCTTTAACGTGCACCCAAATCTGAGCACACGGGCCTACAACATTCCCGCCCCCCATCAGAAATGCAGCCGCCGCAGCCGGGATTTGAACCCGCGACCTGCGGGTCAGCAGCCGAGTACCTTAGCCACTAGACCACCGCGGTGGGGCTATCAGCTGGTATTCTGTCATGTCGGCTCAACGGGGTGAAGCCATTTCTGCCCAAGCCGGAGAGTTGTACTTAGGCGCTTACAAACACAGTTGGCACGATCAGTCAGCAGTGCTGGCTGAAAAATAATTTACGAACGTAACGATCCGGCGTCCGATCTGACTTGCGATGCCACGGTGTGTACTAGCACGGCAGAAAAACAACGCTGGTCGGCAAAACTACAAATCAAATGCATCTCTGGCAATCTTTATAGTTTTGCCTACCTCGTCTACACTTTATTACAACAATGAAAGGCTTGCGGATTGCTCAAACATCGACCTTGTCGAGCGTTGTGGTTCGCAGCAGGGCAAACGCTATTCTAAATCTCATATGGTGCCCGCTACACCCGCAACGCGCGCAGCGCTTGCAAACGGTATTATAAAACTCCCTATTATCGCCTTTGCGCAGTACTTTTACATGAGTGCGCCGGCGCTCTGAAGCCCGTTGCTTTCGCAAGCCACACTTTGGCCATTGCGGGATGCAACTGTTCGGTAGCCGAGAAAAAATGTCTAGCCATCATTTTTGCGTTAAATAAGTTTGATATGTGTTTGGATGGGACTCACTTTGTTAATAAGACTGATCATCCAGCACTGTCTTGGCTTAAACCGCTATACGTAACCCCTCCGGACGATTGGTCCATGGCGCGCTTACGTTGCGACGCTACAATTATGTTAATTAGTACTAGAAGGGTAGCAATAACACAGCTGCTGAGGCACTTTCCCGTGTGCCATTGTCTGTGAAACCCTAGGTAGAGCCGAAAACAGTGTATGAGATCAAAACGCCACTTCAAACTATGCGTTTCCGTTGGGGTACTTTCGTGACTAAACAAGAGCTTCTTGTAGCGCAGCAGAGTGATGACTTCCGTCGTAAAGTGTCAAAAAAGCTTGCAGCTTATGATCCACCTGACACAGGAAGCGACAAGGAGACCGACTGGTATACCTGTTTGGAGGAGGAGGTCTTTTGTACCGGTATTTTATTCAGGTTGACGATAGTAATGCAGAATCGCCATTCCGAGTTATTATTCCTCGCAAACTTCACAAATTCTTTATAGCGTACTACCGTTATCATGCTTTATCTGGTGACTCTTTAGGGCAGAAATCTTATGAGAAGCTGTGTCGTATAGTAGTAACTTGGCCAGGCATGAAACAGGATGTGTTACGCTACGCGCGTTCTTGTTCAGTTTGTCAAAGGGCAAAGACACGAGGTGGTTTACTGCTTGGTTCAATGCAATCAGTTGATATTACGTCGCCTTGGCAAATAGCACCTTGTGACGTAATGGGTCTGTTTCCCATGAGTCCACGGTGAAACAAGTACCTGCTCGTTGTGATTGACCATTTCAAGAAATGGGTCGAATTGTTTCTTTTGCGCAAGCTGACTACGCAGAAAGTATGGGACTGCCTTCTCGAAACCTTCCCCAGGATTGGATTCCCTGCCCAGCTAATCGCGGACAACGCAACGTACATCACCAGCAAGGTGTTCACGGATTCCTGTGACACCCTGAGTATTCGTCACAAGCGCACATCTGTGTATCACCCGCAAGTCAACACCACAGGAAGAGTAATTCGAAATCTTAAATGTATGCTTGTCGCGCATACCGAGTGTCACAAGAACTGGGATCTTAAACTGGCAAAAATAGCATTGCGACTCGAACCACAGACAACTGGTTGACAGGTTTCACTCTAGCACAACGTAACCTGAGCATGAATTGAGTTTTCCGCAAAACAGCGTTCTGACACATACCGACACTACTGGGAGACCTTATGTAAGGTTTGCAGATGCCCCGAGGCACCGGCTGACGGACGCGGTTCAACAAGCCAGACAGCACCTTGATGTATTCCGCATTAAACAGGCTGGATGACATGATAATCGTCGGAAGAACATTAACTTTGAGCTTGGCGATTTGCTGTTAAAACGCACACCCCCCCTCAGTGACGCTTCTAAAGGTTTTTCTGCTGCCCTAGCAAACAGGTGGAACGGGTCTCAAAGAATACTTGAAAATCCAAGCTTTCGTACATGTTGACATATTGCATGACTGACCAAGTGTATGGTACTATTCATGTCATGTCTCTGATCTCAAGCCTTTCTTTGTACGACAAGATTCAGCTGCTGAGGGTCCAGGCATACCTCATCGGAGCTCGACCACCCAGTCACCAACACCGCCCAGCAAGTGGTACAATCTGCGTCCTCGGTAACGTAGCAAACAGGGGTGTGGAAAGATGACAAATTTCTTGGTGGTTGTTTTTTTCTTTTCATGGGCTGTTATGTTCGCCTCATTGTTTGGCGCAAGACGCAGATTTTTTTGTTGGCGACAAGAGGGAAGTAGTTATTGTTTTTTTTTCTTTTTACTCGCCACAAGGTTCCTGCAGCCGGGCATTACTTGCATACTTTCGGTCCCCAGCCCACCTTCTTGAGGAAGGGGGTATGTGTGGGAACCACGTGGACCGGCTATCAAGAGATAGCGCTACGTGTCACGCAGTAACCGTGCGCGTGGCCCTCATGCGCTCTCCAAAAGGGCCAACCTGCGTGCTGCCCTGGGGAGAGATGCCTTGGCAACGGTGCAAGAATACGTTAGGTCAGCGAACGCCTGAACTATCCACCGCCCGATATTATTCTGTTTCGCAAGCAGCCCGAGAGATGGCACTACACACTTTGCTCACGCTTCCGCCCCTCTTATGGTGTAGGAAATCCCCGTGACGTAAGAAAGTAGCGGCGCTCATTTATCGTCACCACAACAACCTCACCGCGTAATTCCTCCCCCATTATCACAGTCTCTTTATCGGCACCGATTTATGCGTGTCGAGCAGTTGATATCTTGCGATAATTCAGTTTTCTGAGATTCGAAAACCGTCACCCACGTGCAGAATTCACTTTACGAAATTTGCCAGCAGCCTGCCATGGTCCTCAATCTCGCGAGCCGTCTATGGGCATGCCCCAAATGAGAACATAATTGGTCCCTGTCCGCAAAGCGAGCGCTCCGCGGCCTTCGCTCACCTAAGGTTGCACGCTGGCCTTGCCTGCCCCAAAGGACAGAGATTGTCGCCCGCACTGGCCCATTGCTGCTGCCCGGAATGATGGTCGCTGTGGGGTTGTCCAATTTCCCTGGGCCGACGCTGCCGTATACCGTGTTTAGTCAAATAGCTGTTGTTTTTTGTTTGGACGTGAAGCCTCCGTCGTTCTTGCTTTACCTACGGACGGGACGCAGCAAGCCCAATACCCACAAGTTCTAAAAAGAACATCAAACTGTTGACTGTTGCTCTGGTAGAGTTCTGATAGCTTATACTTCGCCATTTTCCTGAATGCACTTTCTAACTGCTACGAACGATTCATCATGAGGCACTGAATAAAACAACTGCTCTATATCCACAAAAAAGCCATAGCCTACATGAGCATGGGCCTTAAAAAAACTTACAACGTGCCCCGAGTTTTTGGTGGCAAAACGGTTTTGAGCATCTAGCGTACTCAAATGTTTTCGCAGCAGTCGTCTGAATAGGGTCTGCCCGGTTCCCTTTCCACGGACGAAATGGCGGACGGCCCTGCGTGTGATCACTGTGGCAGTGAGGAAACCATTTCGCTCGTCCTCTGTGGTACAGATCCCAAAGACTTTCGGCAACGCTAGCACGGCTCGATGACTGAACACTTTCGGAGCAGTCAATTTTGGAATGCCGGAAGGTTCGAGCTTTCAGCCAGAAAGCGACTGAGTTTTCTGCGGTGAACCAGACTTACGCGTAAAACGACATTGCCTGCTAGGGTGTAAGCGCGTGTTATTTTGTAACCACTCCGCTTTTCTTTTTCCAATCTTACCTGACTATCTTCAGTGCAGGGCAGCAAACCGGAAATTTTTTTATTGGTAACATCCATGCCTTTCACCAAACATTCCCCCCTCCCTCTCTTTTCAATACACAAGTACTATGCAACTAGTGTGTATGGAATCAGTATTACCAATAAAGCGACTCTCAAATGCTATCGACAACAGCGACGTGTGTCCGAATGTGGCAGCCGCATCGACCGGCGCAAACGCTGGCAGAGTTTCGTTTGCTGCTCAATAATTCGAAAACTAAATGAGCAGTGTATATTGCAGCTTGTTCTCAATGTTTAAAATAAGGAACAAGAAGCGTTTGTGCTTTGAGAATATTGACTTCTCGAAAACGAAAATGAACAACCGCAGTGGCCCACAATTATTGCACTCAATGGCGTAGCACAACTGTCTTGAGCGCCACAGCACTCTTGCGTCGATAGCGTTGTGGCGTTGCGAACACCGTCAACAGAAAGGACTTCCACGTGCAACTATGCCATAGGAACGATATCCTGATAATTGCAGAGGGTTTCCCTGTACTCACTTAGGCCCGCCTATAAAAATCACCGTGATGAGAGAGCAACCATAACAACGCATACATACCGGCGTGCTCTGAAGGCCGTGTGCCAATTAGATAGATAGCACATCAGAGCGCCTTGTATCTGGAACGCTACAAAGCGCCGAAATGATTCGACGAGATTGGGAAGACACGTGCGAAAGCGGGGAAAAGCGGATCGAATAAGCGCCGACTGTGATTCTCATTCTTCACGACTTTCGCTTGTTTTTTTTTTTTTTTTCAGCCGCCTCTTGCTTGTGTGCCGTGCTCTTAGGTTGAATACTTGCCACTCTGAGCTTTATTGTTTTAACGGAGCATACCTGCGCGTCGTATTCCTCAGCGAGCCGGTGCAGCTCGTACAGCCGATTGGTGACCCGGTGCTCGAGGGCGAGGGCTGCCTGCAGCGCGTCCAGCACGCTCATCCAGATGGCCGTAGGCGGCATCTGCGAAGATGGGGCGGTTCAAGCTCTCCGCAACGTCAGTAGGCCGGCATGTGTACTCACGTCGACATTCACGGCGGACACGGTGCCACCGCGAAGGTTCAAGTAGTCGATGATCTTTTGTGCATGCTCGCGCTCTTCGCTGGACTGGTCTCGAAAGAAGCGGGCGAACCCTCCTCGGGCCACCTTGTTGTTGGCCAGATGTGCGGCCTGGGAAACAGACATCGTGCCATATCAGAGATGCTTTCAACTGCACCTTGCATTAGTCAATTCACGCCCCCACACTTTCTGCATACATGACAGAGCGAGAAGTAAATCAATCAATCAATCACTCAATGAAAGCACTTTTATTTTTTATTGAGAAATATGGGGTTAATAGAAGAAGTCATCCTCTCTCACTAAGGGGAACTATGTGTATATGCAAAGCAGTGGGCTCTAATGGCGCCTTCAAACCTCGCCCCGAAGAGAAGAAAAGCGGCGAAACTCTCTGGAATCTGGTTCACTTCGCCACCCAAGCAGCCGGAAAAATACGCCGCGTGGCCGGCACACGAAAATCGGTTAAGGCGCGTTCACACTTGGCCTCGAAGAGAGCGAAACCGGCGAAACTCTCCCAAAACTGGCTCGTTTCGCCGCCCAAGCGGCCGGAAAACCACGCCGGCCGCTCGGCCGTAGCGCAAATATCGGTCCGAGCACGATTTTTCCGCCACGCGAAACCGGATCTGTTCAATCGGTGGCCGACTGGTTAGGTCACGTGGTTTGATCTAGCGCAGCCAAGGCTGTGAAGCGGAAACCGGATCCGGTTTCCGCTTCACAGCCTTGGCTGCGCTAGATCAAACCACGTGACCTAACCAGTCAGCTACCGATTCAACACGGCGGCACAGGCGTTGGCGGTGGCTCGCATCTACTCAAATTGAAAACCACCCGTGCATAATGACGAAGCTTGATGGCCTCAACGAGGACGCGCTCATCGAGAGCCTGACTTGGATTACTATCACCAAGAACTCTGGAAGTTTTTTTTTTCACACTTGTTGGACTGTTTTCAGAATTGTGTACCAATTTACCATGCGGATTGATGCTTTCTATGTAATTAATCCCTGCCCACCTGCTTGGTCTTCGGAATGCAGTATGTCTTAAATAATAATAATAATAAGTAGACGGTGCACGGCAGGAAGTCGGCATGCCCCAACGTGTCTCACGTTTGTGTACGGCCAGCTGAATGCGCCCCCGCCGCTGCTAGAGCATTCGCTCATGTCGTTTCTGCTGGCTTATTTCCAGAACAATGTTTGAAAAGGTGCGAGCTGTTTCTTTTCACTACTTTGCCTGAATAACTAGAATTTGGTACGAACGTGCATTTGTTTGTAGTTAAAATGTCTGGATACATTGTGTGCATGAGTCTCGAGTTGCTATATGAATTAGTTTGTAATTGTCTGAAGTGTACCGCTCGCGTCCTGTTTAGCCTCTCGTGAACTGGTAGGGTGTGATGATATTGTGAAATCTGTTCCTTCCACTCCCAGACTTTTGCAGTACCCCATGGGGCCGGTCGTCCTCCGGTGATGCTCGGTGAAGGAGGCCTCGAGCGACGTGGTGAGCCGCTTCGTTGGGGGTGCTCAGTCCGGTATTTCCGGGGTCCATAGCAGGTGCCCTCTGTTATCAGAGTCGACCACTCGTGGATGTATGAGATGTTGCTTTAGTATGTGGAATGTCTCTTGCGAGATGCGCCCGTTGGCAAAATTGTAAATTGCTGTTTGCGAACCACTAATCACGTAGCTTTGGTCTTTGTGCAGGGCCAGTGCTATAGCCGCTTCTTCTGCCGCTTCAGCATGTACAGTGTTCACAGTGAGGCTCGTGAGGTGTTGGCCATGATTGCTGGTAACTACCTCCCCCCCCCCCCCCCCGGAACTTTTTCGGTCAGTACAACGCGCAGCATCAGTAAAAGCCGCTTCCGTGTCGTTGGGGTAGCTTTGCGTAATGCGTTGTGCCCTTGCTTTACATTGTCCCGTATGGTGTTGGGGGTGTAGGTTGCCAGACAATAGGGGCACGTATACTTGCTCGCGTATCATTCTTGGAATTTCGACCTTGATACCATGCTGCATACAATACGTGAAGCCGAGTTTTTTGAGTGCCCGGGCGGGTCTTGGATAGGCGCTCGAACTGGGAAACTTGTGGCGCCTCCGTGAATTCGTCGAGAGTGTTGTGCAACCCTAGCTCTAGGAGTTTGCTGGTGCCAACTATGGGCGCCAGTCCGAACGCGAATTTTTATGTCTTGCGTATCAGGATGTTAAGCTTGTCTTTTTGCGCAACCGTCCATTTGTGAAACGGTGCCGTGTACGTTATTTTTATAAATCACAAAGACTTTTGTCAGTCGTATGACGCTGACTCCACGCATGCGCGCATGTTTGTTCGCAATGCGTCGGATGAGTTGCATCAGCCTTTGCCGTAATTTTGCGCAGTGCTTCACCATTGCCACAGTTCTGTTCCGATCACCATCCCCAGTACCCGAATCTTCTTTACTATCGTGATTGGTGAGCCGTTGAATGCTGTTAATTTGATTTCTTGTTTTTCTGAAGGGATGTAACTATTCGCCGGGCTCCCCTTCCTGACTGGTCTATAGAGTAGCAATTTGGATTTTTTCGGCCGAGCAGGTGAGTCCCGTGCCCACGAGGTAGTGTTCCACGCATTCTGTCTGGAAGCTATCCTCGATCTCACCGTCACTGCCAGTTGTCGTCCAGATCGTAATGTCATCCGAGTATAGCATGTGGGGCAGTCCATCAGTTTGATGTAATCATTCGGGTAACCCTAGAAGACGAGGTTGAAGGGCATTGCAGGGTGAGATCACCGAGCCCTTCGGTGTGCTCGAGCTTCTAATACTGATTTGACTTGATTATAGTTGTCCCGATAGCATAAGAAAGTCTCAGACGTAGTTGTACGCTCGCATTCGGATATTCAGTCTATTTGTTGCAATATGGCGTTGTGGTGAACGTTATCAAAGGCCTTCTTTAGGTCCAGGACGAGGATAGCTCTCGTTGAGCGCCCAGAATTTCCAATTATCTCGTGTTTCAGTTGTAGAAGGGTGTCCTGTGTGGAGAGATGTCTTGTGAACGCAATTATTGTGTGTGAATGTTGTCCTCGAGGTAATCCATTAGTCTATTGAGAAACGCATGCTCCACCAGTTTACCTACACACGATATGAGGGAGATAGGGCGCAGGTTCTCCAGCTGCAATTTCTTGCGGGGTTTTGATGTAAGTATACCCTGTGCTTTTTTTTTCCATTGCGGGGGTAACTTTCTACGTACCCAACACTCGTTAATATAGTCTGTGCGTTTTTTTAACGATCGGTAATTGAGATTGCGCAGTGCCGTGTTCAATATTTGATCGAGACCTGAGGCTGATTTAGTGTTGAGTTTGACGAGGGCCACCTTTATATCAGCAATTGAGAATTCTGCGTCTACAGGATGGCGTTGCTTTCTCTCTCGTAGTACGAATGTGCGTGTGGTAGCGTTTGTGATATGTAAAGGAGTTCCTCACCCTGTAGGAAGTCTTGCTCCGTTCTCCCGTAAGCGTGTGTAATTTTGCCTCGCCTCTGTGTGGTCTTGATAGAGGAGGGATCTATAATGTGTATCTGCCACGTGCGGCTTGTGGTGAGTTGACCGTCCATCTCCACGCATTTTCTCCCCTTTGTTCTTCTTGCAGGTTAAGCACGGGCTTTTCTATTTCTTTGTTGAGCTGGGATATTCATTTTTAGCCTCTGATTGTGTCTTTGTTGTTTTCCGCGGTGCTGCAGTTCAGTCTTGGCTTCTCACATGTGCAGTTACTGGGTGTCTATTCTATCAGGCCCAGCTATCAACAGCATCATTTGCGTCACTTGCTCGATGTCCCGCTGAAGTTGCCCGGTTCATTGTTCTATGTCTTGAATGTCCTCACTGTTGCTTGTCTCAATTTTTTCGTAGTAGTCACCAATCAGTGATATTTATTTGGCGACCAGTATTGTGTTCCTTTGGGCCCCCTTCTGCTTCTACAGAGATAATGTAATGGTCACTACCCAAGTCTTGCATGGTGTTTCTCCAAATAAGTTTTCGTGTATTGCACGTAAAAGTAAGGTCTGGTGTGGTGTCGGTGCTGACTCTATTGCTCTGCTTAGTTGGTGTCGCTGGGTCAGCGACAAACTTGAGGCCGGCGTGTTGCGCCGCTGCCCACAAATGCCTGCCTTTAAGGTGATCGTGTTTGTAACCCCACGCCGTAAGCACCGCGTTGAAATCGCCTCCAATAAAGTGTTGTTGCCTCCGGGCGATATCGAGTGCTCGTTTAAAGATGACGTGGAAGCGGTGTTTGCGGCATCTGGAACTTCTATAGATGTTGAGCACGAAGATGCTGTCGGGCGTCTTACGCACTGTAAGTAGCTCTACGTGGATGCTTTCAATATTCTTGACTTTGGTTTTGTGTTCCATAATCGTGGGCTCTTGCTTCACCACTGTCGCGACGTTTGGATTCTCTGCCTTGCCTGTTATAGATTGGAAACCTTAAAAATTGGCGGGGCCATTTTTTTCCCTGCAGTATGATGACGTATGGCCGTTCGGGGATTATTTTCAAGTATTGTAAGTGTGCTCGTTTGCCTTGGTAACTTAGGCAGTTTCACTGCCATATCAAGTTTTTTTTTTCGGAGAGTGTTGGGCCATGGTTATGTGTTGCTACATGCGGGGCACCGCTTCGCTATGCCACGTCACAGCGCGCTGTTGCTAGCTTATAATATGGACGCTTTGAAATAAATGCTCTCCAAACTCTGCTTAATCGCACGCGTGATAATCATGGTGATAGTTTCCTCGAGACTGGTCAAGCGAGGCTTGAGTGCTTTCAGTCAGGCGCCGCCTGTTGCTAAGCGCGTATATGCTTGGGACGTGCTGTTGTTATAAGGGAGTCAGCGAGTCCGCGTTTAGTAACGAGGCCTTCAACCTCATCGTCCTCTGCGAGTTCTTCTTGTGTTTCCTGCATTGCTTGTTGATCAGTCTCGCTGTTAGTGGCAGACTGGAGCTTTTGGCTGAGTTCGCCTTTTCGGCGTGAATCTGTACCTGCATGCATTCCATTTGCTTTCGCAAGGTTTTTATCGTCTCTGTTAACTGAGCTATCTCCGTCTCCATCTTAGCGTTTGTTTTGTCGCCAGTCTCCACGTTTGCTGCGTGTTTCCCTTTGACCACATCAGCAAAGCTCACCGAGTC